TTACTGTGGAGAACTCCAAGGTCATGCGGGCAATTAGTGAGAGGATTCTTTTGCTTTTGCTGATGTTGACAATCTCTGATAAGCCCCAAGGCACACCTGTTTGTTGCCAAGGTGTGCCTCCTAAGATACAAATGTTAACAATATGGTTACACAACTACTATTTTGTCCGCGGCATGCTTTTTTCCCCAGAGATGAAAGCCTAGCTGTTGGAAGACTGGAAGTACATAGCCTTGGGGTATAACATCAGTGGAAAAGAGACTTACAAAGTGGTTCTAGCTTGAGAACATGAAATAAGAGAAAATGTAACTTTTATTGTAAGAAAAGTGTCTGAAAGAAGCACCAAAAGCATTTTTAGTTGTTTTTTGACACTAGAGAAACATCTTAGGTTATGCAGGTATCATTTGTATCTTGTCCTTTAGGGAGACTAGGGAAAATTTGCTGTAGTGAATAACAGGTTGCAGATGGGTACATTGATGGCATTCTTAGCCTTGTTCATACAAGTTACATCTGGGTCAGGGTTCTACCTGAAGGACATGAAGTCATGATTATCAACCTTGTCATCATCGAAAAAGCAAAGCAGAAGCATTAAGGGCTTAAATTTGGGACAAGTCATTTTGCATGCCGAATCATCAGCTCATTATTCATGCTTCATGTGCTATACTCTCCAAGCAGAGGTTTGGGTTTTGGGGGTATTTTTAGCGTGTTTTTAGGCTTTTCTTATCGGGGTTTCTCTTTTGCACTGAAGTTTTTTTCCCACCAAACCCAACCTCTGCCGGCAGTCACCCCGGGGAGGGGCAAACCTATTAAAAGCTATTCAAAACAGGCGATAGTGCCCCTCCCCGGGAACCATCAAACTGTCATTAGGGATATCCATATTATTGTGGTGGATTATCACACATCTAGCCAGTCAGAAAGGCATTCATTGGGCCACATGCCTCCTGCTGACTGTGCCTATTCATGCATCTGGTTCACACCTCCTTGCAGAACGACTGAAATGTGTTGAAGAGATTAGGTTTATAGCCCATTGAAGCTTTCGACTGCCTGCAGAGGTTGGGTTTGGTGGGGAAAAAAATTCAGTGCAAAAGAGAAACCCCGATAAAAAAAGCCTAAAAACACGCTAAAAATACCCCCAAAACCCAAACCTCTGCTTGGAGAGTACATGTGCTATGCCAAAGGGCTGTTGCCCTAGTTGACTGATAGTCAATTCACATACAGATATAGACACAGAAGCTTGGGCAGACAACTGTTTCCATATCTGGCCTTGGAAATACAACATTAATTTCACCATCCCTCCTGTCCATGATCCTTGGGGAAAATGATTCAAAACAAGAAAATTGAGTTCGGAGCAGTTTATTGGTAGTGATTCACAGTGTTAGGAGCAGTTTCAGGTCAAACTGATCATGTTTGATGATGAAAAATTAGATTGCAGCCTATGAGTCATTCTGCATTACACTACTTGGTACTGAAACAAAAAGCTTTTGTTCTTGTATGATACAGGAATGTTACAGGAAGGCCAACTTGGCTGATAGGTATCTGATAGGTATGTATGATATTCACTTTGGTTGCCAATGCAAAGAATTTTGCTGTACAGAGGATGCAACGAACAGCTATTGTTTGATTTTGTTATTGAAAAATTACTTCTAGATGTGTGTAGGGTCTAGTATCCAGTGGATAGGTTCTTTTTTGCCAGGTTACAGTAGTACTGTTCCAATTTGGCCAATTTGTGATGGATAGAAAGAAAAACATTTTCTACTGTGCACCTGCTTCTGTTATTCCCCGCAATCAGAACATTCCCCCTTGCCTGTGATTGGATGGAAATCCCTGTCTATGACAGTTACAGGCCATCTCAGCATTGAAGCATCC